GGCGACCTACAAGGTCGCCTAGGCTGCATGGCGACCTCTCTATTCCTGCTCCCCATTGGCTCGTATGGCTCGTATATGGCTCGTATGTCACCCTCGTAGGTCACCCCGTATGTCGCATGGATTGCATGGCGTCCTACAAGATCGCCTGTATTGCATGGCGTCCTATGGCGATCACTGTTGAATTCACCCCATTCCAGCAATTAATCTGGGATGTGCACCATATCGTGAAAAAAAAAATTCGAGAACATTATCTCGTGAATTCACCCATTGATTATTGATATGAATATAATTTGATTTTCGTTATCCTCTTGCAGTGACTGTGATAATGCCTAGCCTTTTCTGGTTCAAGTTCTTTTTTTGATATTTTCTAATCAGCTGTTTAATTATGATGACTATATGCTTGATTTAACCTTTTCAGGATCCTGAGGGTCTTTTCCCATGCATTCTTGGACATGAGGCAGCTGGGTACGCTATTTACCATTAGTTCTTACTGTTTCTGAGTCTCTTGGTTTCTGTAAGCTTAGAATTATTTTTGAACTTTTGAGTGCAGGATTGTAGAAAGTGTTGGTGAAGGTGTAACTGAAGTTCAACCAGGTGATCATGTCATCCCATGTTACCAGGCAGAGTGTAGAGAATGCAAGTTCTGCAAATCAGGAAAGACAAACCTATGTGGCAAAGTTAGGACTGCCACTGGAGCTGGAGTCATGATGAATGATCGCAAGAGCCGCTTCTCAGTAAATGGGAAACCAATCTTCCACTTCATGGGCACCTCAACATTTAGCCAGTACACGGTTGTGCATGATGTTAGTGTTGCAAAGATTGATCCACAAGCTCCTTTGGACAAAGTATGCCTTCTTGGTTGTGGTGTTCCAACCGGTAAGCGTTTGTTTAACTCTCTCTTTATTTCACGAATCTGTAATTACATACATATTTGGTTTGACAGTTAATTTATATATTTTTTGCGTTGGATAAGGGCTTGGAGCAGTTTGGAACACAGCCAAAGTTGAACCAGGGTCTAATGTTGCTATTTTTGGCCTTGGGACTGTTGGTCTTGCGGTAAATGTCAAATATGCATCTTACTTGCCATTGTTTGAGCTGTCTTTCAAAATATTTGTTATCTTCATCATTGTTCTCTTTGTGGTGCTAGGCTGCTAGATACTAAACAGTTTACCTTTGAATGTGATTGTGCAGGTTGCAGAAGGTGCGAAATCAGCTGGTGCTTCAAGAATAATTGGTGTGGATATTGATAGCAAGAAGTATGATATAGGTAAGTAATTTACAAATAATAATACTTAAAAAGAAGACTATTTAGTCAATCTTAATATGGAATATTCAGTAAATTCTGTATAATGTGAGTAATGGAATAAAATGATAGAAAATGAGTGATTACTGCTTTGCTTATCCATCTTTGTAATAAATCTAAATCATGCATTACTTACAGTCTTCTACTTCAAGATGCTGATTTCCTTTTTCTTGGTGAATGCAACTTGCAGCAAAGAATTTTGGAGTTACAGAGTTCGTGAATCCAAAGGACTATGATAAACCAATTCAGCAGGTCCTTGTTGATCTCACAGATGGTGGTGTTGATTACAGTTTTGAGTGCATCGGAAATGTCTCGGTCATGAGAGCTGCTTTGGAATGCTGTCACAAGGTATGTGATGCCTGGATTTGATGAACACTAATGACTGTAAATGGAGTACCACTTCTAATGAACCTGAAAAACTTCCAGGGCTGGGGAACATCTGTTATTATAGGTGTTGCGGCATCAGGTCAAGAGATATCTACTCGACCTTTCAAATTGGTGACTGGCCGTGTCTGGAAAGGGACTGCTTTTGGTGGATTCAAGAGTCGTTCACAAGTGCCTTGGCTTGTGGACAAGTACATGAAGAAGGTAAATGCAATTTGTTTGCAATTCTATCTCTACTCCTATAAAGTGATTAGGACTTTATTATATTCTCCTTCCCCATTGCAGGAAATCAAGATTGATGAGTACATCACCCACAATTTGACTCTCGGAGATATTAACAAGGCGTTTGATCTGATGCATGAAGGGGGTTGCCTCCGATGCGTGCTTAAGTTGCACGAATGAGATTACAGGTGTGAACTAAAGGGGTGATCTGTGAAGAACTACGTGCCTATCTTCTGGAACTGAGTGTGTACTTTTACTGCCATCTTATGAGTATAAACTAGAATGTGTTTCTATGAAGCCTGGTATTTTAACCTTGTGAAAAATGTTTGCTTTGTTATGTTAAAAGAGAACCTGTGATGGAGGTGTATGCATGAATAAAATAATTGAGCTCCAAATCATCTGAATTATGGAGTCGATGAGTATCTGACATTGATGTTATGAACTTTTGGTGTTTACACGTGGAGATGTTTCGTTCTCTATTCCTGGTTGGTTTGTTTTTAACTTTTTTAGAAAGAGAATTGAATAATTTCCAATTCCATAAAAAATTCTCCGTTAGATATCCGTAGGGTGGATTACACGTGCCCTCCTATCATAACCAAGTTTCAAGATGATTGCGTCATGTTTCATTTTAGTCAATGAATGGATCAACATTAAATTTTTAAAAAAATTCGTATCATTTCTCATTATAAATTGATTCTTAAACTTTAAAATGTTCTATCTTGATTTTTAAATTATGAATATTTTAAATTTATCTCTAAATTTTAAAATATTTTATATCAATCATCAGATTATCAATATTATTTGATTTTGATATTTTTATTAACTTATTATTAACTCCATTGAATTATGAAGTCATGCGAATTTAAGCATGTGATCTTCTAAAAAGAATTAAAATGCCTTTGAAGGTAATGAGCAATGAACTTATGATCTAAAAAAACTTAATTTGTTTTTGAAGCTGTGAGATTTTTGTAAAAGGTTACGAGTTCAATTTGTATGATTTAAAAAATATATTAATTTTTAACTAATAAAATTACACTTTAACAGAAGATAAAAATGGAATGATATTAATAGTTTGACGATTGATATAGAACGGTTTAAAGTTCAGCAATCAATTTAAAATATAAGTCATAATTTGAGGACATCCTATGCAGTTATCTCCCAAATTAGTAAAGCATTACAAAGTATTACGTAACGCCTTCGTGTCATATTTTGTACTACCATGTTATTTGAAAAGAATAATGATATGTTTTGAGTGACTTCAGCATCACGTAAGTTGTAATTTGCATGCAGTACACACTGGTTTTGAACTGGTCTCCACTCCCAGTGATGACAAAACCTTTGAATTCTTACTTTGAAAGTTCTAATTTACTTGCAGCACACTGTGGTTTTGAATCGGTCTCCACTCCCACTATCCACAAACCTTGAATTCCAACTTGAAGATTGTTATTATTATTTATAGTCCAACACAAGAAGAAGGACCTCAACAAAAGCACTGGAAACTTAAAAGAAGAGACTTGGATAAAATAAAGGACAACTCTATACGCTTTTTATACAAATGTACGCAAGCTGAAGCATATGGGTAGGCAGTAGCCTTCGCTCCGTTGGTCAAATGGAAAATTTTCAGTACTAGTCCCTGTCAAAAATTAATAATTCATCTAAAGCTTTTTCTGTCTTTGATTAAGTTAAAATTTTGTATTTTTTATCCTCCAAAGGATCAATAACTCGATTTCATCTCTTTTGGTTTTAACACAATTTTTAGTTTTGATTCCCATAATTTTGAAATATTTTATCTTCACTTTGAGAGTTGGAATTATGACTTTAGAATTCACGCCATAACATAACAATTTTGACCTAATTTTATAAGATTTTTTTTGAAATTCGGAATTCATATGAGTTTTGTGAATGAGTCGGGTTTATGGTAAAAAATTGTAACCCAACCTGACTCAAATCATTATTGTAACATACATCTTTATATATTTAGGAATAACTTTTATAACGTGTCTCCTTACATTTTCAATTATCTCCCTATTTTATTGAATAAAAAAATATTTATGTCGAATTGGAATAAACATAATCTTATTAAATGTCAGGATGAATTGGGATTGAACAAAACCTTCAACTTTCAAATTAAGGTATAGAAAAATCGACCCCCATATACCCATCCCTAATCATTAATGAGTCAATATCAAAGAAATGCATATATGATCCGGTGACAATAAATTAAGCTTAGCAGTATCCGAGGACTTGGTTACCAAAGTTGTCAAGCTCATTGCAATGTGATTTCGTCTCCTTCATTAAGTTTGAAGCTGTAACCATATGCTGAGGATCGGGAGAATGCCGAGTTTGTGTACACTACCCATATTCTTCGTAACAAACGTAAATATATGATTTTATATCACTCGGTGCAAATTTTAAAAAAATTATATTAAAATTTTAGAATGTAAAAATATAAATATAAAAAAATATTTAAATTAGATATATATAAAAATCACACTATTATCCCCAATACGTTCTAAAATTTATATAAATGCATAATATATTAAACATGGATATACTCTACACGAGGCAACACACTCAAACTCTTTTCTTCGGACAAGTATTGTTCAGGGTTTGATCTCAGGATCAAGTGTAGACTTGATAAAAACACATTCTTTTATCATTACATCAGCACTAGTTGACAAACACCAAATCTTATTATTAAATTGTTTAGGGTAAACTACAAGTTTAATACTTAAATTATCACTTTTGTTTCGTGTTAGTACTTAAACTTAGTTTTTTCAAAATCATACCTAACATTTAATTTGAGTTTAAATTTGTAATCCCACCGTTAAAAAACTTAACAACATTGATGACGTGAAATTTACATTACGAGACCCGTGGAATATCGAAAAACAGAAAATAATTCCACGTCATTACTGCCGCTAAATTTTTAATGATGGGATACCAAATTGAAATATAAACTAAACATTAAGTATAGTTTTGAAAAAAATAAAGGTTAGGTACTAAAACGGAATAAAAGTAATAGTTTAGATACTAAAAATGAATTTACCCAATTATTTATAAACAATGAAACCGAGTCAATCGATTTTTACCACCCCAGAGCTGAAGACCCAGCTTATTAATTAACCTTCTGGTGGTTGGGGGCCTAGTCTATGGATCTTCTTCATCTTTGGCTTCGTCCAACTCCAAGGCTGCATTTGCTTTTTCCATGACGACAATTTCACTGCAAATTAAATGCAGCAATCCAACTAGGATCAAATTTTAGGAGAGACAAATTGTTAAATTTTAGAAAATAAAGATCTATTAAGTATTTAAATGATCATTTTAGTCACTGGACTTTCACAAATTACTTATCATTAAATGTATCAAACTTTTATAAATGATTGTTTTATAACGTTAAAATAAATGTAAAATTTTAATAAATTTAATGATTATTTTGTAAGTTTTAAAAATTTAGTGACTGAAGAAATTATTTGAGCATAGTTCAGTTACTTCTTTGTACTTTATCCAAGTTAAAAAGAACAAACCATTCTCATGACTCATCATGAGATCATATATATACATATAACAAGGTTTTGCAGAAACAAACCGAAGGTCGAGTGAGATTAGCAGCTTGCACCAAGTCTCCAGTCTCACGAGCCTTCAAGATTCCGAACATGAGGACGAGCTTGGCTCCAGTAATGGCCGATTGCTTCTCGATCATTTCGGGTTCTTCTTTCAGTTCATCGCATTGTTTGGCAATCTCATTAAACCTTGTTATTAATTTCCTCTGCTCATCTTTTAAGTATTCCTGTTCTTCCCTTACCTTTCCAATCTCCGCTTTCACTCGTTTGGCTTCGACCCTCACTCTCAATTTCTTCTCCGTTTGTGATTTCAAGCCCACTCGATCAGTCTTTCTCGGTGCCATCGGATAATATTACAGCTGCAGGCTTGAAGTTGTAGCTCAAGTTTCGTACTACAGCCGATTGAGAAATGATCTTGATCACTAAAATTGGCGCTAACATTGGTTTTTAATATATGAAATTGCAGCAAGTTCGTCGTGGTTTCAAAAAATTCAATAGGCAATTATGGAAGGGTTCGTAGAAAAGAGGAGGAAAATCACTGATTGTAAGAGTCCTTTCATTCCATGTAGATATTTATACAGGTTAACTGGTCAACATCATTCGGAATCGAGATTCCGACGTACGTATTGTTCGATTCTTTAACTGGAATCGTGCGATTGAAAGAATTTCGTCGTGCGGTTCTTGCCTCGAAATGACCATTAATAAATGAACCATTGAAACTCTGGGTTTTAGACGGCTTCTCCTGACCTGACCTGACCTGACCTGCTGGAGATTTGGGTTTCACGATCAGCCTAGCCCTAAAAGACAATCATAGTAATTAATAGTTTAATAGGTATATAGTGAAACTCGCTTTCATTCTTTTATTATTTTTAATATAATTTGATTTAAAATTTTTATTTATATCACATTAGTTCTTGACCATTTCTATTAAAATAGTCAACATTAGTAATCATGTTCCCTTTGTATCTCTTTACCACGCGCCTTCCAGTTTGAGACCCTCATTTCATAGTCATTAACAGTGAAAATAATAAATGATTAATTAATATATTTTCAACTAGACGATAGTACGTGATATGGACGCTCTTAATGAAGAAAATGAGATCGTATCCTACAGCAGCATCAATTATCATCGGCGCCATTAATGCAGAGTTCTCAAACTCTGAACTGTGAAAATATGAGAGAAAGCCGAAGGGAAACGAGACTTGTGAAGCGCGGTAAGGCTCGGTGCATTTAAAAAAGGTAGAATTGGGTGGGAAATTTGGGTTTTTGCTTTGGCGTTGGCTTAGCCAGTCTTCTTTTTGGCACCACTGTATGCTCACTACATGCACGTTGAATTTCCTTAGTAAAAAAAGCACATTACCTTCTTGTTTATGCAAGTTAATGTCTCTCTTTTGTTTTATGCATTAAGATTAAAACACTTACAAAAAACCAATGCCATTGCGTGATTTGAGTATCTTCACAAGTTATTCATTTTCCTTCAATGACTTGAATTTTTTTACTCTTGAGAAAGGGTCTTTGTTATCTATTTTAGTTTAGCATTTCCACGACTTGTTGTTTATTTTACATTTCCCTTCATGAAACAGCCATAGGAATAGGATCACAAGAAAATCTAAAGCTTGAACCAACCAACCAAACAATCAAAAGGCAAATTTTTTTCAGCTAAAATAACTAAACTAGCATTTGATATTTACTTCCATATATATAATGTCATCTTCATTATTTAGTTGTATTTTAATTTTTTATTTTTCAAGAAAAAAAGAAGCTTAGAGCTCGCTTAATCTCCTTTTCTTATGTGTAACCTCTCATTCTCTTTGTATTTATAACTCACTTCTGTTTTTAGCATTGTTCTATTTCTCTCTCTTGCTTGAAGGAACCAAAATTCTGCTAAACAGATCCACAAGGAAAAGAGGAAAATTTTCAGGTAAGAAAGAATCTATCGTGTTGCTCTTCCAATTACATTTGCTGCTTTTTTGCTTTTTTATTAATTTTTGCATAATTCGGATTTCAATATTTCATCCCATGTTATAATATCAAATTTCCTTTACAATATTTCAATTTTTGCATTTTGAGATTTGAAGAATATAAAGTTGTTGGGAATTTATAAGTTTTTGGTTTTTACAGTTTTGCAATAATTCTTACCATTTTCATTTTTTTCTGCAAACAGGGTGTTATACTGTCTGAATCATACAGCCCATGAATTGGCATTGGAATTTGTAAACTTTATGTAAAAAGAGGTCATTTTTGTATTGGATTTTAGAAGAATATATATTGAAAGGTCACAGAATTTGAGGATCAAGAGCAATTGAAAGGGTATCCATTTCATATCTTGATCTAGTTTTAGAAGAGTAAGGTATGAACTTGTTTTTATATTAGACATGGAGGACAGATTTGTATTTATTTGGTGAAATGACTCAATGAGAAAATGTAAGATGAAATAATTAAGTTTTTAGACATGGAAACCAAGGAAGAAGCTGAAGGAAATGAAGACAATCTACCATTACCCCCTTGGGAATTAAACCATCATTTTGAGGAGGAGGAAAAGGAGGATGTCAAAGACAAAGTGGATGGAGAGGCACAAAATCCTAAGCAGTCAAGGAGTTCAGATCCTTCAAGGCTGCCGCCACTGGGGCATAGGCGCAGTCAGAGTGAAGTTCTAGCTGCAGGACACCGGCGTAATAATAATTTCCTGAGAATGAAAACTTTTATGCAGAAAGCTTTGCGATGGGGAGGAATTCCAAAGGATGGAAAGTACCAGTCAAGCTTCAACCCCGAGGTTCTGGCAAACCAGAAACGCCAGTGGTATCAACTCCACTCCAAAACTAAGGTATCTGGATCCATCTCTTCCTCTTCTTTCGTTTATATTCTTTTCATATTTTACAGGTTTTGTGTGATCTGTTAGTGTATGCGTTAATTGCAGCTTTAACTTTGTCTGATTGGATAAAACTTTTTCTTGAAGAATAAGTATAACCTGCACCAGTACTTACATTACATAGTGAGCAAATCTCGCGTTAATTCCATTTTTTTCTGGATTCTCATGCATGTAAAGTTTCCTCTGTTTTAAATGTGACACCTCTGCTAATTGCCTGTCTCTACCAAACTTGCTATATGCACTAGATACTACAACAATGACAGATACTATATTGGATAATAGCATGCCTGTTTAGTTGGTCTAAGGGCTTCTTACCTACACTTGATTATCATTTGGTTTATATGTCAAACATTGATGTTATAGAAAGTCATAAGACATGACTCATCTTATTGTTATTACCCCATTTTGTTTTTTAGTTTATGGTTTTCTTTGACCTTACATTCAGCTAGGACTATTGGTAATTGGTTTTAGTTTAAGATAACCATAAACCGGATAGACATTTTTCTCTTTTCTCATGCTTGAAATACCACTCTGTAATATAGTAGACCTTAATGTAGGAAGGCAAGTGCATACCTTAAGTTAGTGATTACGATAAAAATCTGCTATCAATTGAAAGATTTTAGATTTTGAGATGAAATGGTTAGTGGAAGTTGTTCTGATGGGATACTGATATATATCTCTATTTGCATTTTGGAATCTAATTTGAGGATGTTGTTGCAGGAAAAGCTTAAATATGAGCAGCCCACTTCAGTCTTTGAGCACTTCATTATTGCCGGAATTCATCCAGATACCGATCTAGGGTCTGTGCAGGAAACCACTGCTAAGAGGAAGAAGTGGGAAACAGATATGAAAAGATCTGGAATGATAGATCTTAAAATGATACAGAACCACGGACCTCCAGCTCCAATATTTGAACCCAAGGTTTACTACATCATTAAATACAAGGAAACTCTTTTATATTTTTGATAGCATGTTAAATTGCTCCTTAATTAAGTTTGCAGTACCTTATGGAAATTAGTGTCTCCTTGCAAATAAGGGCCATGACACTGCAGAAGCAAGAATTTAGTTTTCATTGTGTCTTTTCTTTCGAGCTTTCCCCTTCCACCTTTTTAGGGAATGTTTTTACTTTGGTTGAATTTACTTTGTGTTTATTTTATTTTCATATACACTGAATCATTATTTGTCTTCCCTTTCCTTTTCCCCTACTATCAGATACTTTTTAGATACCCTCCTAGGAAGAGGTTATCTATGCGTTTGAAGGATTTAGCCACCTTTTGTTTTCCTGGAGGTGTCAAGGTTTGATCTCACTATTTTTTGGTGATACTCTGTCTACTATAATATCAATTCTTCAATTTGGTGTGAACTTTATTACTTTAGTTTCTCGGTATTTCCTTTTGTTGGTTCACAGCTGCATTTAAAAGTTCACTTTATCATTATGATAATTAACCTATTTTAAGGTGGAAATGGATTTGATTGATCGAAGTTTGGGCTTTCTATGACATTGTCATTATAAAAGTACCTTGGTCAACAAGTGAGCATATTGTGTGAGTGATCTATTTGGAGTTTCTCACCTGTTAGCCTTATATGAGAATAGCTTCATGGGACCTTTTTATTACTTCATAAATCATTTATTATAATTTTATTTAACCTTATAGATATACTACAATAAGCATCTTTTGTTAGAAGTATCACATATTTTTTTTGTGAAAATGTTATTCTGCTATATACAGTTCAAAATTAAGTTGTAATCTCCAGCCCAAATTAAGGATTTTGATGATTTCTATTATCTTTTTTCATTGCACTATATTTACTTTTCCTTTTCCTGGTATTAATATATATGGACTTAATCAGAACATTTTTTCAATGAATTTAGGCACGACTGCTGGAAAGAACTCCATCATTTAGTGAGCTAAATCAGCTTCTTTATGGACAGGTATGTCAAATAAATGTCTCCCTAATTATCCTAATTTAAACGGTTAAAGGATTCTTATAACGTATTCTAATTTGTAAATTTACTGCCTTTATCTTTCATTTACCTAAGTACAAAAGGTGATGCTCCAACTAAATAGGAAACGAGGTAGAGTTTTGGGTTAACAAATCATTACCAATTAACTACGATGTTTTGTTTTAAAAGGAATCCTAACTATGATCTTTGTTTGTGTGTGTGTGTGTGTGTGTGTATACAGTTATTCCAACTAGTTGTCCCTATGTCGATTCAAAAGTATAGCCGGTTTTGAGGCATGAGCTTTTTCTCTCATGTTGTACTGTTGACTTGAAGAAAAAGTAACATTGTACTGTTCCATATTCTCCACAGGAGCATTTGGGCAGGGATGATTTTGCATTTATCTTCTCATTAAAGGTATGTTTTTGTAACCATGAAATATTTCTGTTGATTTCATTTTGTTGAACTGAATCCCTTCATGGTACCTTGACTGACAAGGGATGTCATAGTAAATGGTGTTCATTTCTATTATGTGGTCAAGGGAAAGAAAGATGACATTTAGAGGCAGTAAATTGCACCATTTTAATATCACATTGAAGCTAATGTTGATGGGATTGATCCCCTTAAATTGTATGGCTGTGACGTAGAGCAGAGTTGAAACTGTGAG